CTGCTTAGGGAAATACGGGATAATAGTCATGACATGTTACGCTAAAGTAATACTGCCTGCTTGGGAAAGATATTGATCTTGCCAACCCTATAGTTTGTCTCAAACTTTATCTATAATCGCAACATAATTCTGCTTGGTGGTGCACCCATGAATCATCCATGCCCCCAAGTACCTGCCTATATTTCAGACCCACTTAAACCCTTTCACCTCTGTGATGGCTAACTCAAGCTCTTCTGCCATATTTTTGGAGAAGAAATACTTGTTTTTCGCCATATTTTTGGAGAAGAAATACTTGTCTTTTGCATGCTATGTTTCTGGAGCGAGATCTCCTCAAACATATTTACACATTTTAGGACTACGACCAGCTGTTCCTGAGATGCCTCGATAAAGAGCAGTAAGTTATCCTCACACTGCAATATACTAGGACCCCCCAGGGGTGTAAATGGGTCGAGCGACTTGTCAGGGGCCTACAGCTTGGCCTGACTTGGCTTGACTAGTTTTACAAATAGTAGAGGCTTGAGTACTTTAAAAGGCCTAATTAAAAATTAGGCCACAAACCTATTTTAACAGGCTTGAATTCTAAGCCTTCAAGCCCAGCTTGTATTTTTTTTTTTTTTTTTATAAATAATGTTATATATTTTTAATAGAATAATATCTTTTTTATTTTTTAATAAAATAATAACTTGTTATTTTTAATAAAATAATGTCTTTTTATTTATCTTGTTATTTTTAATAATATAATATCTTATGATTTTTTAATTTTTGCAATCTTCCCGTTTCTCACTTGGAAAACAATTCTTTTATTAACCATAAATTCTTTCGCTGCCGCCGTTCTTCTCTCCTCGACCAAATTCGCTACTCTTCTACTCTATTCTCAACTTCCCATCCCTTCCAAACCATCTAACGCTCACCATCGACTCTCAAAATTTTCGTAGCTGATAGTAAGTCCTCATTTTTTGTCCGTTGACAAATTTGCATCTTTCCACAATTTTCGTTAATAAATAACATATTATTTAACTTATGAGTGTGTTTGCCTACAGATCTTGTTCTTATTTGTTAGGCATGTCTTTGTGTATGATATTTTTTCTCTTTATTTATTTAATTTTTTTTTGAAATATTTTCATACAAGTTGGTTGGTGGACGTCTACAGAGCTGATAACAATATTGAACACCGGAGTCAGAATGGTGTCCAACAATCTTGGAGGTGGGTTATTTGCATTGTAGCCTCTGCCACCAGCATTGTTATTATCTGCCATCTCTTGTATTGATTGTACAGGTACGCTCTTGAATTCTTCCCAAATAATCTGCTTGGCAACTTTCCTCAGTCTCCTCTCAGTCCTTGCAATTTCAGGATCTATCACAAAGTCTTTAGGAGCAATTCTATCTTGCATAAAACTCAGAAAAAATTGTTAGTAGCACCTGCAAAACACATAACAAGATAGAACAAGATAAGATAAAAATAAAAATAAAAATCCAATCTCAAAGATCAACGGTTATTTATAATATTGGAATTAAAATTCCCCGGCAACGGCGCCAAAAACTTGATGCTCACCGGCAAGTGTACCGATCGCACAAGTAATATAATGAGTAAGTAGAGTATCATATCCACAGGGATTGTAAACCAAGTACCACAATAACTAGTCCCCTTAAGTTGGAAAATTCGGTTGTTTTGGAAAATAGTGAATTGATGGTAAAATAAAGACAAATATATAAATATATAATTTTACAATTTAATAAGCAATGGTAAAAATTTGGATTTTTTTGAGAGAATAATAAAAAGGCATTGCAGCTAAGGTACACGCACCATATGATCCCTGCTTTAAAATTTGGATTGATTGAAAATGTTCATTCAATTTAATAACTCAGACAAATTATCATCTAAAATAATTAGTTAAATCCCAATCCCTTGGCAATCTAACCTTTTAATCCAATTGGAACCCTAATTCCTTAGCAATTCCGCATGAAATTAAGCATTAATCACGATAATTGAAACGACTGCAATTCACACAAGTCTATCCCTAGAGTATGCATAAATTGTTACTTTACCCTCTTTCAGAATCAAAAACCCCAATATTCCTATTGCGAGCCCTAATTCCCAAATTATTATCTCTTATTAGGTTGATCAAGTCTAACAGAAATAATAAACAATATGCACAGGGTAAAAATAAAATCTATTAAAATAAACGAGCGAAAATAATCAATCCATCGAAAAATGGTTCACATAGGGTTTTTGACCCTAACTACAATAAAAGAAATTAGCCAGCCATAGACATGGCTGACATAAAATTATAAAAGATAAAGATGAAAGAATGTAATTACAAAGAGAAACTAAGAACAATCCTCTGCTCTTCTCCTCCTTATGGAATCCTTGTTTTCTTCCGCCATCAAAAAGTATCTCTGAAAAAGCCCTCACAGCGTCCTTTTATAATCCTCTCTCGCTTCTTTCAAAATGCCCTTCAAAACACGGTAATGCTTTCCCGCAAACTGGCGCGGGATCGCGCCACTATGGGGACAGATCGCGCCAAAGTTCTGGAAAATGGCCTAGCAAACTGGCGCTGGATCGCGCCACTATGGCGCAAGATCACGCCAAAACTCTGGAAAATGGCCCAGGGAGACTGGTGCATCTCAGAACCACCACCCATGCGGATTCGCGCCAACAATCTTTTAAAATTTCGTTTTCTCCTTCTTTCTCCCTATATAAACATAACAAATATGTGAGAAATATCTTTGAAATGGAAAAGTCAATATAATAAGCAAATATGCATATAAACTGCTCTTTTATGACTTAATCCTTATCATTTTTAGCTTGGAAAACTATATATGTCATAGGCACATCAGTTATAATGCTTATGATTAAGTTAAGTTAAAGTTAAATACCTTGTTTAAGAAAGGAAAAAGTTAACTCACATTTTTATGTTAGAATAATTGATTAAGTCATAGTATAAGTGACAAAATAAGGTAATTATTTAAATATTTTTCTTAATTATTTTTGCTGTGTTTAATACTATAATTAATTAATACACCGATGTATACATGGTGTTGTATAAACAACCATTCGTATAATAAATAAAAAAGAAGCAATCCACATTCACATGCTAGTTAAGTGTAATATTGTGATTATTATTTGGGTTATCGTTCACTTTATGAGTCCTTAGGAAGACAACCACCTCATGGCAGGTGATAGTAATGTGTTCCTAATTCTCTCAATCAAGTCTTGAACGACTAGAATTTCAGAGAGGATTTTTTTGCAAAACTATTGTCAAGAGTGTAAGGTGAATCTTCTTTGTGAGGAACTTTTGTGCTAAAGGGAGGCCATTGTAGTAGAGCCGACAAAACGGGCTCGGCTTGGCGGGTCAACCCGTCCCATTATCTAAACGGGGCAGGGCGGACTGAGTTTTTCAACTCATCTCAAAAGAGGGTCGGACTCATTTTTTGACAGGCATAGACGGGTCGATGCGGGTCAATGTAAAATAGGTTCGGGTTGGCGGGCCAACTCGCCCAACCCACCAAATGGGGCGGGGCGGACTTAATTTTTCAGCCCACTTTCAAAAGCGAGACGGGACAGGCTGACTCATTTTTTGGACGGGGCGGGCTGACTCATTTTTTGGCCGCCCGACCCACTTTGCCACCTATAATTGTAAGGGGACTAGTGGAGTCCAAGAATCTAGTGTACACTTGCTCACCATAGGGTTTGGGAGCCTTACACATGCAAGCATTGATTGCTCATCAAATGGTGGTGCGAAAATGGGTGCATAATGGACTGCCATGCATCTAAGCAAGGCCCTAATTAGCTTTTACGATTTTCATTTTTATCCCAAACTTTTTCCTCATTTTATAAAATTTGTGCATAACGCAAATCACTATGTAATTATACTATTACAAGCACTTAGGCCTAAAAACATATTATTCTTGGGGTGTTATAAAACCAAATCTAATTTTATAGAAGCAGAAAAATTAAATATGAGGACATATTTTTACCAAAAATAAATAAATATATGAGGACATATATAATTTCGTTTCTTAAAAATGTACTTCTTTTAATTCAAGAAAGTTCCATTTATACAGATTGCCTTTTGAAATTGTTAATTTACTAACAAGTTCAGTTTATTGGAGTTGTTATCTTGTTAACAGATTCACCACTAATATATACAAACAAAGCTTTTAATGACCAAAACAATATGAATATTAATATTATTTAAAAATTAAATTATTTATTTACTGAAAGATCCCTCACAAAGTAAAAAGTATTTATCAAGAAATTTTTTTCTTCCCTGGATGTTTTCACTTTTCATGTACGACTTGTAGAGAATATATATTATTTATTAATTTTCGCAACAAAATCTTTCGTATCTTTTTACTCTTAATACTATAGTTAAGAGTGTTTTGCAGAGATTACCAAAAAAGAAAGAAAAAAAAGAGTGTTTTGCAGCAACCTTCCTCAGTACATTTTTCCTTATTCATTTATGAACAAAGGGAAATGAATTTCGAAAGCATAGAAGAAAAACAGTTAAATTATTATAATCATATTTATAGACACTGATAATATAAATAAAAAAGTTACAGTGAAATTCATTTAAAAATATGTATTGTAATAACAATTAATAAAAGTTTCAACTGCATTGTAAAAAAATTGAAATTCGTTAACTAAAATATTCAATGATATTATATTAACACTTCTTTACAGAAAATTATTTATTCTTTTAACATTGCCGCATTATGATTCCATTAAATTCAACATAATTATGATTTTTATCTAAATTCGATCTGACAGAATTAAAAATAATAATAAATATCATTAGGTAATAAATATAACCGTTATAAATTGTATTTTAATGATAAGATAATAATAACAAGATTGCATTTTCATCTACAATTGTCCTTTTTCAAATTCTGTAACTTATCCTATAATAATTTAATATTCTTTTTATTATTTTCATTATAAAAGTGAAAGTTTTTTATTTTACTTAAACCCTCTGATTATACCCATCAGCCTCAAACTCAAAACCCTCTCACCTTCCTCTTCCTCTCAACTATGCTTTGCCGGTGACACTCTGACCGGTCGCCGGTCGCCAATCGCCAATCGCCGATCACCGATCACCATATTTTTGTTACCCCTTTGGGTGCTGCTACTCCCATAATTCACCTCAATTGGATTCTGGGTATGCTTCTTTGATCACAACCCATATATGGGTTCCCAGTAAATTTGATCTTAAAGTTTGAATCTTTTCCTTACCCCTACATATTTTGATGTTTGTGTTGTTTACTTTTGTTCTGCATAAAGTATAATATCTATGCATCATATATTTACACTGAACTTATTTATTTATGTATTATTATGTTCTCTGATGGAGTGAGTTGGGTATTTTCTTGAATTGTAGGATTGAGAAGTTAGAAGTTAGAACACTATTGTTACTTTTATCATTATTTATGATTATTATTATTATTATGTAAATTCTATTTAGTAAGGGAAATACATGCAAGTGTTAAATTATGAATTTTGTATATCAGTGTAATTGTTTCTCTATTGCTAGCTTAATGGTGGCTAGTGGAATCTAAGGAAGGTGTATGGATAGGAGTATAGAGGGTCGAGTTAATTCATTTTTGTAGTTAGTGGAGCTCATTCAGTGACTTCAGAATCAAATTAAGCTGGAATTGAACTTGATTCACGCACTATGATATCTTTTTATGAGAAAATAAGCTGTAAATGTTTGCTGCAAATTTCAAATTGGGATGAATTGTGTATGCACCTGCTTAATTGGATTTTTTAGAAGAGCTATAATGTAAGCCTTGGGGGATTTTGAATTTTTTTGGTTAAACTTCTTATACTATTTATGTACTTATTATCATCATGGATTTTGGGAGTCTGGGATTGAATTCATTCTTTTTGTTTTTTAAATTATAGTGTTAAAACTTAAGCTGCACCATCTAGTATGTATATTATTCTCTGAAAAACAGTTTTTTTTTTTTTGGCATATACTATTTTCTGTACGACTGTTTGTTTATTAAGTGAGATCTTTCAATTACCAAAATAAAAAGTGTGAGATTTTTCTTCCACTGTTATTGCAGCTTTATATAGGATTAAGGAACCATTTTTGTGAACCTGAGGATTCCAAGCTCTAGTCCTGGCACAGTGTTAGAAGCTCATAATGGATTTGAAGGTTAAACGTATAAACTGGGTGGGGAATATTTACCAGAAGTTTGAAGCTGTGTGCCAGGAGGTGGATGATATTGTAGGCCAGGTGCTATTTCATTATTGCTTTGCTATTTGTTCTTATCATTTCTCTTACGCCCTCCCCCTCTCCTAACTGTGTTTAGAATCTCAAAAAGAATTTAGTATTTCATTTGCAAAATTCTTGTATGAACCTTGTTTGAAACGATATTAATTTAAGAATTCAATTCATTTACAAATAATTTTGTGTTATATTTGAGGTTCTAGAAAGCAGAACCTATCAATTTTGATAGGATTCTCAAATGATTTCTTTTCAGTTATTCTACAATTAAAGTATTCCGAACCAGAGGGTGGTTTAAAGAATAATGGCACCAATTATCTTTTGAGAAATAACAATCAGGGTTTCAATAGATTCGCGTATATTAAGACCAGTGAATCATTGAACAGCAACGATAATCACTTATATTGAATATTAAGCAACTAGGGAGGTAATTCCCTTACAATACCAAGAAGGAAATAATAATAATATTCTCAGTTACGCTACTAGGACTCTGTCCTTTACAATCAAGTAGACACTCTGTAACAATTATTCAAAATAGCAGAAATAACAACTAACAAGAGACCATTAGAGACTCCATGAATTTAGCACTCTTGCTCATCTGTTTACATACTAGTTCCTCCCACACTGAACCACCGAGTCCAGGTGCTACCACTACTCACAACTTCTCCAATGATCCCTCATTCCCCTCCCAACCGTCTCTCTTATTCCTCTCTCACCACTGCCCCCTCTCCCACATGACCCTCTCCATTCACAGCGTGTCATGTGGCTCTTTTTATAACTGATTGCTGTTGCTTGTGGCTTGCATATTCTTCCTCTTTGCTTCTCCTCTCACTTGGGCTGTGCTCTGTCTCATTGCTTCTCCTTTCATTTGGGCCATGGTCACCAGATTGGGCCACCTTCATGTCTCCTTCCATTTGGGCTTTAGCTCTCTCGCGTGTGTAATGTTTGTTAAAAGGCATTAGGGGTCCATCAATACTCCCCCCTGGAAGAATCACCTTGTCCTCAAGGTGAAAAAAAGAAAATTGCTGCCTGAACATTTCCATATCCTCCCATGTGCAGTCACAGTCAGGGAGAGTCTCCCACTGCACCAACAACTCTACCTTCCCATTCATCAACCGCCTAGAATCAAGGACAGCCACCGGTTGAACACTCAACTCCAATGTATCATCCAAGCATTTTGGTAATAGCAGAATTGGTACCACCGGCTGAACAACCAACTTAAGTTGAGAAACATGAAATACGGGATGTACCTTTGAATATGAAGGAAGCTCTAAGCGGTAAGCCACTGCCCCAACACGTTCTACTACCTTAAAAGGTCCATAAAAACGTGGGCTTAATTTTTGGTTGATCCTTTTAGCTAAAGAGCGCATTTTATAAGGCTGTATCTTCAAAAATACACTGTCACCCACTTCAAACTGAAGCTCCCTTCTTTTCTGGTCTGCTTGAAATTTCATGCGCTGCTGTGCTCGATTCAAATGTTGCCTGAGATCATCCACCACTGCATCTCTAGCAATCAGCCACTGATCTAACACATCTACCCGAGTTCCTCCTCTTTCAAAACGGATTAAAGAAGGGGGGTCCTGGCCGTAGACAGCCTTGAATGGTGTCATGCCAGTCGATCTATTATAAGATGTGTTGAACCAGAATTCTGCCCATGATACCCACTTAGCCCAGCCACGAGGATGCCCATTAATAAAACACCTCAAATATGTCTCAACAGTCCTATTCACCACTTCAGATTGTCCGTTGGTTTGTGGATGATAAGAAGAGCTAAAACGTAATTTAGTACCTGACATTTTGAATAACTCCTTCCAAAACATGCTCATAAACACCCGGTCCCTATCCGAGACAATAGATTTTGGGAAACCATGTAAACGGACAATTTCCTTCACAAATAACTCCGCAACATCTTGAGCATGGTAAGGATTATGCAAAGTTATCAAATGCGCGTATTTGGTCAGCCTATCAACCACCACCATTATGGTGTCAACCCCCTGAGACTTGGGTAAACCCCCAATAAAATCCATTGATACATCTTCCCATGCTCTCTCCGGTAGTGGCAATGGCTGCAAAAGCCCCGCGGGTAACAGCCCCTCGTACTTTTGTTGTTGGCAAACTCCACACTGTCAGACAAACTCAGCCACCCTTTTGCGCATGCCCTTCCAATAAAACACAGCAGCAATGCGTTTAAAAGTTCGCAATTCCCCAGAATGTCCTCCTAAGGGAGAAGAGTGAAACTCAGATAAAATGGCAAGAATTTGTGCAGAATTTTTGGGTATCACCAACCTATTTTTAAACCACAAACAACCCTTACTGACATGGTACCCCGGATGTGATTGAGCATCCTGTAACAGATCTGTGATTATTTTTTGTGTGGAAACATCATATAAAACTTCATCAGCTATGTCCTGCAAATCGGGACTGTTGACCAAAGTCAGCTCCCTGCACTCCATTACTCTTGATAAGGCGTCATCAGCCTTATTCTCCGCTCCGGGCTTAAATTGTATTGCTCGGTTAAATATTTGAGGCTGCAACAAATAATGACCCCATTTGTGAACGGCAAACACTATAGCCTTCAACTCCCTCTCATACACAGACAGCTTCTTTGCTTGATCCGAGAAGGCTTGACTCAAAAATGAGATAGGACACCCTTTCTGCATAAGGACAGCCCCCATACCAATACCCGAAGCATCCATTTCGACCACAAATGTCTCCTCAAAGTCGGGTAAAGCTAGTGCGGGAAGCTTCACCATTTCAGCCTTCAACATTTCAAAGGCTTTCTGTGCCTCCTCATCCCATAAAAAGCAGTCCTTCTGCAACAGATATGTGAGGGGTCTTGCCATATGACCGTACCTCCTCACAAACCTCCGATAGTATCCAGTAAGTCCCAAAAAACCCCGTAGCTCCTTTAAATTGCGAGGCACCGGCCACAATTGCACAACTTGTAATTTTTGCGGGTCTGTTTTGACACCATCCTTAGATACCACATGACCCAAGTACTCCAGTTCATCTTTAGCAAAGCTGCATTTTTTATAATTAGCGAAGAGTTTCTGCTGCCTCAAGATGTCCAGCACTACCCGCAGGTGATGCTTATGATGCTTCTCATCTTGGCTGTATACCAAGATATCATCAAAAAATACCAAGATGAACTTACGCAAATGGGGCTTGAAAATGGTATTCATCAACGATTGGAAGGTTGACGGGGCATTTTTCAGCCCAAATGGCATTACGAGATACTCGTAGTGCCCCTCATGCGTACGAAAAGCAGTCTTCTCTATGTCTTCCACCCTCATCAATATTTGATTATACCCCGATTTCAAATCCAATTTTGAAAAAATTCCAGCCCCATTCAACTCATCCAGAAGCTCGTCAATCACCGGAATAGGGAACTTGTCAGTTACAATTACCTTATTTAGAGCACGGTAATCTACACACTTCCATCCTTCTTCTTGACCATTATCAGGGGACAAGAGTAAGGGCTGCTACTAGGCTGTATCATGCCCGCTGTCAACATCTCTTTAATGAACTTTTCAATCTCTTCCTTTTGATAGTGTGGGTAACGGTATGGCCTCACATTGGGTATTTCTACTCCTTCCTTCAAGACTATTTGATGATCACATGCCCTGCTAGGGGGTAGGGCTGAAGGCAACTGAAACACAGGTTGATACTCTTGAAGCAGTGCTGCAATCTGGGACGATACCCCCTCAAGGGAATCTGGGTTCAACGAAATCAATCCCAACTCCACATAAAACCTTTCATCATTTTTCTTTCAGGAACGGCTCACCCCTTTACTTGAAACCTGTTTGCATGACAAGGTGGGATCTCCCTGTAGCTTGACATTATTTCCCTTCCAAGGGATCTCCAACAACAACTCCTTGAAATTTGCCCGAATGTCTCCTAGCTCCTCTAACCAAGTGAAACACAGAACCAAATCCACACCACTTAAATTGAAAACAAAGAAATCTTGAGTTACAGACAAACCTGGTAATTCCAAGTATAGCCCCTTGCATACTCCTTTACTCCTCACTCGATGACCATCGCCCACTTCTACCTTGGAGCCTCGCGTTCCATCGACTGACAACTCAAGAGTGTCCACCAACTTCTCTGCTATGAAGTTGTGGGTAGCATCTGTGTCAATAAGAACCACCACCCGTTGGCCTTCTAGCTGGCCCCACAATTTCAGGGACCGGTTCGACGTCCACCCCACCACACTTTGCATGCTCAACTGGACCGTTTCCTCGTTCCTATCCTCCCCCGCTTCCAGCATCTCCTCTTCCACGCTGGTTTCGTTTTCTCCCTCGCCCAAAATCAGCAACCTCATCTGAGCATACTGACAAACGTGGCCCGGACCAAATGGTGCGTCACACTTGAAACAAGTATTTTGTCTCCGTCGATCGTCCCTCTCCTCTTGACTCAGCCTCCTATAGTTCGAACGCTGCGACCCCACGCCGCTGCCGACTGACGAGCTTCTCCCCACTGGTGTTGCTGTATTCGCATTCTGGTGGTTAGGGTTCACACTAGCGGCTGATGCTTGGCCCCCTTGTGAATTGTTATGGAATTGGGCTGTACAATTATTAGTAAAAGGCCCATTTCTATTGGGCCCACCCTTCCCAGGCAAAGCTGACCGGCCCACATAGTTATTCCCAAACCCGTTTCCCCCTTTCCACTTCGTCGTTACCCTCCCCAGTTCCTTCTCTCTTTCTTCCACCTTCTGAGCTAGCACCATAGTTTGGTTTAAATCCATGGGAGAGTGAAGCCTTACCTCAGCTCTAATCTCCTTTCTCAAACCGGTGAGAAAGGCAGCTTGCATCATATCATCGCGGGAATTCCTCAGTGGTGCCGGCAATATCTCAAACTTCTCCCTGTAATCCGCCACCGTCCCCTCCTGTCATAGGGGTTCCCTGTGGATGATACATGGAACCTCTGTAAAATGGCGTTTCGGAGGCCCTCCCAATTCATCGTGGGATTTCTTGGCTCCCACCATTGAAACCAACTTAGCGCGCGTCCCTCCAAACATATGGACCCAGTCTCCACTTGCTCCTCAGCAGGAATATGGTTTATATGGAAGTACCTTTCCGCTCGAAAAATCCACCCATACGGATCATCTCCGTTGAAATATGGCACCTCTACTCTTTTCATTCTTTCTTCATCTCTCAACACGCGATGAAGTTCAGCGTTCACTCCCTCGTGAGTGCCGCCCCCTCCTTCATTGGTTCGCCCTTGATTTCCAGTAGCTGCAAGCTCCTGAAGGGTACGCATCATAACTGACAAATTAGCTTCTATTCGATGGATTCCCTCCTCCGTTCTAGCCACACGTGCTTCCAACGCCTCCATTCGATGATCCATGTTTCTGGTTAACACCATTCACAGTTTTCCCCAGGTAAAGTGCTTTGATACCAAATTAATGGCACCAATTATCTTTTGAGAAATAACAATCAGGATTTCAATAGATTCGCGTATATTAAGACCAGTGAATCAATGAACAACAACGATAATCACTTATATTGAATATTAAGCAACTAGGGAGGTAATTCCCTTACAATACCAAGAAGGAAATAATAATAATATTCTCAGTTACGCTACTAGGACTCTGTCCTTTACAATCAAGTAGACACTCTGTAACAATTATTCAAAATAGCAGAAATAACAACTAACAAGAGACCATTACAGACTCCATGAATTTAGCACTCTTGCTCATCCGTTTATATACTAGTTCCTCCCACACTGAACCACCGAGTCCAGGTGCTACCACTACTCACAACTTCTCCAATGATCCCCCATTCCCCTCCTAACCGTCTCTCTTATTCCTCTCTCTCCGCTGCCCCCTCTCCCACATGACCCTCTCCATTCACAGCGTGCCACGTGGCTCTTTTTATAACTGATTGCTGTTGTTGTGGCTTGCATATTCTGCCTCTTTGCTTCTCCTCTCACTTGGGCTGTGCTCTGTCTCATTGCTTCTCCTTTCATTTGGGCCCTGGTCACCAGATTGGGCCACCTTCATGTCTCCTTCCCTTTGGGCTTTAGCTCTCCTGCGTGTGTAATGTTTGTTAAAAGGCATTAGGGGTCCATCAAAGAACTTCCATTTATTGGAACTTCTTATTCCAGTATTCCACTTGTTGCTCTGATCTTTGCACTGTTTCTTTTACTGGTACATTGCATGTTTGAGGTTTGTTACATTGCAATCTTAAAGTGCTGTTGCTATTTTCTTTTAATTGATTGTGTTCAGGATGCTGTTAAATATCTTGGGAATCAGGTCCAGAATGTTGGAGATAGCATGAAAAAGTTCTATTCTGGAGTTGTACATGAGCTACTTCCTTTTCCTACCTCACCCAGTTCTACAAAACATGAAGCTCATTCAGTGGCTTTGAAAAATAACATTGGATCTTCAGTTAAGTCAGTTGCTGGTGTTAAAGATATTAATAAAAAAGGGGATGAGGAAAACCCTGTCAATAATTTTATTGAGTCATTGAAGGGTTCCAATAAAATTGATCTTGCTAATGATCAGCAAGCTGGTGGTCCCATCAAGCATGACCTTGTAAATCAAGTTTGTGATGAAACTTGCTCAGATTCCTTAGATGTGGAAGATTCTTACATAACTCAGGATGTTGGAGATAGTGTGAAAAAGTTCTATTCTGGAGTTGTACCTGAGCTACTTCCATTTCCTACCTTGGTCAGTTCTACAAAATATGAAGCTCATTCAGAGGATTTGGAAAACAACATTGGATCTTCAGTTAAGTCAGTTGCTGGTGTTAAAGATATTAATAATGAAGGGGATCAGGAAAGCCCTGTCAGTAATTTTATTGAGTCGTTGCAGGATTCCAATGTAATTGATCAGCAAGCCTGTGTTCCTATCAAGCATGACCTTGTAAATCATGTTAGTGATGAAACTAGCTCAGATTCCCTGGAGGTGGAAGATTCTTACGTAACTCAGGAAGCAGTTGGTGATGACTCAAGAGAAACTTGTGGGGCTAAAAATGAAAACTTGCATGTAAGCATTGAAGAGATTGCCGTAGAGTCTGCACCTAAACTGATGATTTTGATATCTGTTAAAGAGAAAGAACCCCTTGAATTCTCAATACATAATGAATCCTATTCTGATTCTTCTGGTAGTGGATGTGGAGTTTTGCTCAAAACGAAGGATAATATAGATTTGAATGCAGAACAAAACTCATGTTTGATTGTTGAAGAAAATGCTTTGAGTTCATCTAGCTCTGAAGTGTTGAATTTCACGTCTCTTGGTGAGAAAGAATCGACTAAAGTCTCCTTATTCAGTAAATTGTCAGATGCTTTTGATAAGGATACATGTGGTATACTAGCTGAAGATTCACCTGCTGCTTCTGTTGTGTCATGCAAAAGGCCACCAATGATGGAACCTCTTTGCTTTAAAAGTTCCTTTGAAATTGAATCTTGCAGAAACAATTCAGGTGATTTTGCTTCGTATATTTCTGATAGTTCCGCGGTACATGTATGTTGTGAACCATCCCTCCATGTATCTGGTCAGATCATGGAATCCCAGGGTGGACTTGTTTCCTCTGGCTGCTGTCAATCAATGCAATCAAAGGGTTGGTACCTTTGAATTTTCATTTATGAGAACTTTTCTTCGATTCCTTACATAACACTGTAACTGGGTTTTATTACTTATGGATTGTTAGAGGACGATAATTCCAAGGTCAACGAAGTACTATCTTTGGATAATTCATCTAGAATCACACATGGCAGATATGTTCTGCTCATGACAGGGCTATAATATCGTTGTCAGATATAGTTAAGTTAAATGATTTTTTAAAATGCTATATTTATTGAAAAGATTTTAGACTCTGGATAAAATATTTAAAAAAAATTATGCTTTGAAATATCTTGTTTCACTATTATGGGCTTTGGGCTTAATGGTATGCACAGTCAAAGCAATCTGTGCAGTACCAAATTTATAGGACTGGGAAAGCTGCTATTTTTGCAAATCTGATGGTGGGGACTAGAGAAGCAGTTAATTATATGCTTCTTTAATGTCCAGTCACCAATATTTCAATGGAGTTGATATTCTCTCTTTTGAATTTTATTGGTGATGTTGGTTAGGTTTTTAGGTTCAAACGTACTTTTGTCAATTGCCTACAGTCTTGATTCGTGGAAAGAGTGGACTGCTTGCAATGTTGCATTGCTTGATATGGTATTTCTGCAATCAGAAACACAAAATCACTTTAGGGAAATATAAACCTCTTATTTTTTGCTAAGTGAAATTTTCTAGAGTATGTTTACTTGAAGTTGAAATTGTTTTTCCTGATGTTCTTTCAACATATTCTTTTCCTTTTTCTTTTTTCTTTTTTACTTTGGGCATTGTGTCTATCTCAATCACACCGAGCTACATAGTGTATCCAAACTTGTGCTAATACTTGACTAGTTTAATTCTAGTTTTTTGTTAGTATTTTATTTATGGTTAAAATTCAAATAAATGGAGATAAAATAAGAATTGATCCTTTACAAGTGGAGATCACAAATTAACAGAAGGAACACAAATTTTACTTAGAAATCTTATAATTGATGATGTTTACGTGCTTATTTAAGTGTATTGTCACCTATCTAATATATGTTTTTTTTTGTTCAGATGAATCACTGGTCAGTTCTATTGATTTAAGCTTGGAAGACATTCAATTGAACAATGATGCAAAGCTTGAGGAAAGTTGTGTATTTGTGGATGATAGTGAACTCCGTGCAGTCTCATACAGAGCCCAAAAGCTTAGATCATACAGGGTACTCTCTTTGTCCTCACTTATAATGTGTTTCAATGTATGAACTTATTATGTAAGTATATCTATATATTGTATAATTACGCGTTGTATATAAGTTCTATGCTTTAGAACAATTTGAAATTTACCAACACACACCCCTGGTCTTTCCCTAAAAATGCTACCGTTATTTTTCATTATAGAAGAAAATGTAATTGCTTTGGCAGATATCACTTGATTCCTTGTATTTTATATAAAAAAGGGTAGAAGAAGAAGAAGAAAATGAAGTTTATTTTATGAAATAAGTTATGCTTTTAGGAAAATTAAGAAATCTTGTATGCGCCATTACACTCTTCTTTCTTCTGACAGAAAAGAATCCAGGATGCATTTGCTTCTAAGAAGAGGTTAGCAAAGGAGTATGAACAGCTAGCAATATGGTATGGAGACACTGATATTGAGCTCAGTCAAGGTTTATCACAAACACTCTTTCCATTTAGCTCCAGAACATGCGTGGACTCAAAGGATTTGCAAGTGCAGCATGCTTCTGAATCTGAGTGGGAGCTGCTGTAATTATAATTACGAGGCATGTAGATAATAATGGACCAATTGCATTGGCTCTTTTATTTTGCAAATGTACATGTTGAAGGTGGTATAGTACTTGCTGAGAATAGCATTGTTTAGGTTTCCATGGAGAACATGCTAATAATAACTTAAATAAGTTATTTGTGGTCATAATTGTCAACGAAGCGTTGGTTCTTTGAAAATAGTATCGACTTATTGATTGTTAGTTAATCAATTTCTGCTATGAGTACAAAAGAGTGCTGGACTTTGTAAATAAATGTAGAATGATGAACTCATGAAAATTATGAATGTGCCTCACATCTGAAAGATGTTTGTACTTTCTGTCATGGTATATTTGCCCCATGTCAAGAAAAGTTTTGATGATTCTTCAACAGATATGCATATAGAATTTCATTCCATGCATCAGGGACTCCAGGTAAGCACCAGTGAATGCAATCAGCAAAAGATTTTGGGTTGGCTCTTTGTTCTTTTGTCAAGAGCTTGCCCTTTCTTTCTCCATAAACTGATGTGTGAGCATCTTTTCTGTACTCTGATAATTGGGTGATGTTCAACAAGGTGACATCTATTTTCAGTTCTTGTAGTGCATTATTTATTATCTTCATAATCTCAAGACTTGATCCGGTACCCCAATATGGACCTTGGATTGGGTATGACTCATTGAAGCAGTTTTCATTACTTCCTGGCTTCCATTCCCAGCTCCTGCAGAAGAAAATCAGTTGTCATTTTTGGGAATGAGCTTGACCGAGTTAGCCACATTTCCTTCAATAATTGTTTTTTGACATCATTAATTTTTTTAAAGCCGCATTTGGCAACGGTAACGTTGTTCCTTGTAAGTTGTAACTAAAAGGCCACAGGTTCGATTATAGAAAACAGTCTCTTTATAAAAAAAAATACATGGATAACATGGATAAGGATGCGTAAAATTGATCCTCACTCTACTCTCTCAAGTTGAACGGGGGTTTGCTCATTTTTTGTTTAATTTTTAAAGTTGTTCCTTGGTGACTAAAAAGTCATGTTTGAAATGAGGAAACTATATTTTAAAAAATGCAAGAATAAAGTTGTGGACAGAGATTTTCGGTGGCTTTATTTGTTTTTGTTGTGTTTCCATTCCAAATCGAGTGAGTTGTAGTAAAAAGAGGTGATAGTCTAAATTAAGCAAATTTTGGTTGAAGAAAAAAGATTGTGAGAACTCACCATAGATGTGTTGGTGACATACTCATAAAAAAGACCTTTTGAGTCAGCGGTTTAATATTTGATTCTAACCAATTTGCCCAAGTTTTCAATGCCAATCTGTATGCTGTGGTGACATTATATTCTTGGACATGGTGTGGTGATCCATATCTGAAACATAAGAAGAAAATGTTTCAAACCAATTCATTGGAAAGGAAGAAAGAAAGTGGTGCTATGAACATTCAACTACATCAGAGTTTAGATACTCACGTAGCATTGATCAAAGGCTTATACATCCACCAAACATAACTCTCAAACACCAAAATGTCCACTCCTTGCCAATGTTTCCCATGATTAGCAATGGAGTCTAGTCTAACCATTCGTTTATGGACAGTATGATTTGTTGCATGATCTGAAATGGATTCAACGATGAATGGAGCCCAGTAGTATTCAATCGATGCATTGAACTCCTACAAAAACAAAGCTACAGAAAATTGAGTTTGATGACTATTTCATCATTAAATAAAACTTCACAAACTATGTAATAAAATGATAATACAAGGTGAAAGTAGTATGTTTAAGCTTGGTGTTTAGACATATGAGAGGCACATACTAATATACCTCAGCTTTGAAGATCTTCATAGGTGGAATTCTTTGGAGGGATTTCTTTCCTTCTGGAATTATGGATTGTACCAAACAGATCAGAGACTCAAATTGGCCTCTTTGTAATGAGTCTCCGATAAACATCATTCTCTTGTTCCTCAACATGTGCAACAACTTCAAAGGGTCAAATCTGAAGTCAAGAAGCATAGAACAATCTTGTTATGCTCACACGCAGTTTCAAATCCGTGTCACTAATCAAGGAAATATTTCAGGTCTATGAGGATTCATATCTAAGTGAATAAAAAGATTTCAATATCACTACTAATTGCTTATTTGATTACTCTAGATTCATGCAATGGCTTGGAAGAGAAAAAATGATGCCGAAGCACATAAAAAATAGGCTAAACAGATGAATTCGGATAAATAAAGAGAACGCTTACTCTCGAAGAAGAAAAAAATAACAATATTGAATAATTCAACACTAACATAAGTTGGTCTGAAACACCCTTAAAAAGCGATTAAAATAAGTAGTGCAAAAGTACGAAGCTAATAACCAAATAATAATAGATGAGGGATATTCTTACTACCAAAATCTTCTACTACCAACTCATTACCTATCTAATAACCATTGGATCAACATTTTCTCTTTTTTCAAATTTTTTTTAACATTCTCTCTCTTTGATTCAATGGTGATTAGATAGGTAGTAAGTTAGTAGTAAAAATTTTTGGTAGTAAGAATATCCTTCCTCATAATAATAATGGTAGCTCAGTAGTTGACGCTAGAAACTGAGCAAGTAGAGGTAAGAGCAAGTGTTTGATCTTCTTCGGTATCGTCTTTGGGAGGTATTTAAAGCCTTAATCTAGGTACCCGTCTCGAATTGGACTAGTTGCGAAACGATAAACCGATTGGAATATCTCTAAAATAAAAAAAAAAAAAATAAAAAGTACGAAGCTAACATTAAAAATGAAAATAATCCTAAAAAGCTATCAAACAATCCCAAAACACAAAAAAACACTAGATCTCATCTTGTCATAATGCTATTGCTTAGAGGCCCGTTTCCATGTAACCGGTCAAAGTTGAGCCCATTCTAAGATCAGACCCTTAGATGCACCAAGAAAACTAATTTGAAAAATGCTGGTGAAATGAAACTTAAAGTGCTTGAACTTTCAAGTTAATGTCATAACTCATAATGCATGGTTAGAAAGTTAGAGCATCTAAAATGGTTGGTTACCTTGGGAGGTTGCATCCATGAGGCTGCCACCTCCAATTCTTGTATAAAGAATCAGGTCTCCCATTCTTCTGGCAAGTTGTCTGTTTAACCAAGTAAGGGCAATTCTCTTCTTCATAAAGAGGATAGGACACATTATCCCACACCCATGTCCCTTCAAATACATTGCAATCTTCCTCAAAACGATCCTCTGGCAAAACTACAACTGGTAATCTATTTCTTTCACCTTGTGGCTTGCCATAGAGCCTATAAACATGGCTCTGCTTCAAACTATCTAGGACTAACCTTGCAGTTCCTAAGATTAGAATTGAATACAACACAATTTGGAAGATGGATTGGATCCGGCGATCAAACAAAGACTTAAAAGACTGCATTGACATGGGGTTGTTGAAGGAATTGAAAACTTCTAGAGTTCTAACTTTTGTTACAAACATTTTCCAGTACATGATTTTGTAGCTTGCTTGAGTTTAAAGCACTTAAGAAAAACACCCTTTGCAACAAACGGTTGGTAGGATCAAAGTTTAGGTGTTGAAAATATTAAGATTGAAGGAACATACCTTGGCATTTTCATGTGTCAAATTGGAATTATTCTAAACAACCAATTCAATCTAAAAGTTTAAATTATAAAATAAATATTTATAGTTTTATATTTATCCAACACAGATAAGGTTATTTTCCTTATTCAAAGAAGCATATAAAAATTTTAAAAATAAAATGCCAATAATTAAGAATAACAAAATTTTAATCATCCAGATTATGAACTTACAGAAAAAAAAAATTTCTATATATTTTTCCCAAACTCGTCACTTTGAAGATGATTAACAGTGGAGCACGTACTTCCCTTTTCTTCATGTTATCATCTTTTGAAATATGTGCACTTCGTTCCTTGAAATTGCGATGCATGTGGAGTTTTCATCTTTTCTATTTGATTTGATTAATCACTTTTCAGCTTGCAATTTGTTGATTAATTGAATTAGATGCATCATTTGCAAATGAAGTTTAAACAGTACTTAAATTTGGAGGTCCCCTTGTCACGATTCTTATACTCCGACCACACATTTAAGATTAATGAAAAATTTGTTTCTGTTAAACTTCTTAAGATTAAGAAATCAGCCATTCTTTGTATCCGATCCGAAACTTCAACCATGTTTGTCAATGATTTCACTACTTCAAGAATTCAGTTACATCAGCTAAAGCCCAAATCCCTTGGTATCTTAATCATTCAAGAAAATCCTAATCCCTTAATAAAATCAAAAATCGATTTAAGCATTAAGAAAAGAGGACTTATAAAGATTGTGTATCTCAAGGTCATCAAGCGAGTTTATGGTAATTTTGCACAATTCCAATTTATATACCTAGATTCCTCTACAATATATAATATTTGAATCACTCTATGGGTGAAAAGTCATAAAAGCAATAAGAATAGGATAAAGTACTCAATAGAAGAAAAAAAATATATTGAGCACGATCCTAGCTTAGTAGCACAATTAGTTTGGTTATATCATATAACCGTATTTCATTGGAATTCCTTTTTAATATAGTATATTTTTTCACATAATATAGCATATCCTCATGCAGAAATATAGGGAGTTTTGTTTCCCTAAGCAATGGTCTAGCTATTGATTGGAGATGTTTAATGAATGATTTTGCTAAACCATTTTGGGTATGAACATGAGCAACAAGATGTTCAACTATGCTTCCAGTTGACATACAATAATCATTAAAAGTCGGAGATGTAAATTCACCAGCATTATAGAGACGAATTGTCTTTATTGTGTAGTCTGGAAATTGTGCTCTTGATCTTATTATTTGAGCAAGCAATCTCGCAAATGCTAAATTGCTAGTTGATAATAAACATACATGTGACCATCTTGTAGATGTATCTACTAAAACCATGTAATATCTGAATGGTCCACAATGGGTTCACATATATCATCCTGTATGCGTTCCAAAAACGAAGGGCATTGAATATCAAGTTTAGCTGGTGATGGTCTAGTAATATATTTTTCTTGAGAACAAGTAGCACAAGAAAATTCATTGAATTGAAGAATCTTCTAGTTCTTCAATGGATGACCATATGAATTATCAATCATTTTTCGCATCATATTTGATCCAAGATGACCTAATTGATCATGCCAAATAATGAAACTATCATAAATTGTCTTTTGATTTAACATGACATGTATTTCAACCATGCGAATTTTTGTGTAGTACAAACCAGAAGAAAAGGCAGGTAATTTTTCTAATGTGCATTTCTTACATGCTACTTTTGTAGTAATATAAAGATATTCACTGATGGGACGAAAATTCGTTCCCATTTGAGCTCATTTTACTGATAAAAATTCATCCATTCTGCTATTTGGCATTCAATTTTTGCTATAAAAAGACGTTCCAGATCCTGAGAACAAAAGTACCAGAAGGTAACAAATGTTGATATCTTCAGTGATAAAGCAGGTAAAAAGAAGAATGATTTGACTTATTTGTACACCTGCTCCACTAATCTCTCCTCTGACTCTTTTGAAGCGTGAAAAATGTAAAATGTTTTTTTTTTCAATAAGTCCTCATCATTAATATTTCCTCCACATAACTTTAATTGAGAACTAATTTTAAAAACTGCAGAGTTGTACTTACTTACAGATTTGAAATCTTGCAACCTCAAATGCATCTCATCATAGCGAGCTTTAGGCAGGATAACCATCTTTTGATGGTCGTACATTTCTTATAAATTATTTCATAATTCAAGTGGATCTTTCACAATCAAATATTCAGCCTTAACCCTTCATAAAGATGATGGCGAAGGAAAATCATGGCATTTGCCTTATCATGATTAGATACTTCCTTTTCTTTTATAATTGTATCCCCAAAACCTTTAGCATCGAGGTAGATTTTAACCTAGTAGGGAATGATCATCAGATAGTAATTTTTAAAAAAATTACAACGTATCGACTTCAGAGCCCCAAAAAAAAATGCATGTCTATTTAAGAATGCCACATTAAAATGTTAATTATATATACCTTTGTGTCTTCGTAATTATATATGTATGCAAACCGAGAGCATTTGGATGCAAATAAACTTTTGACTACGTTAAAAAGATAATATATGGCTCATAATATGTATACATGTTATTAGAATAAAAAGTAAAATATTATTAAATTAAATATAAATATAAATTCTCACAGAATTAAGAATTATTTATAATAAAGTACACGTATAAGTGTTTTGACTCGAAAAGGAAGAGATGTAACGATTTTAGTGGGTAATAACCACACACATATAAGTTCATTCTATTTTTATTTTATTTTTACTTTATTTTTACGTTTAATAAGTCAATAGCATTTTCATTTGATTAAAAAATATTTCAAATAAAAATTAAATATTGTATTTTATTTTCATTAGTTTGCAAAGTGATTTATTATAGGGTTCGTTTTTTCTGCAGTTACTGCAGATAAGTTATCTGCAGTAAGCCAATACGACGTTGTTTTGTGACAGAAATCATGGTGTTTTTGTAATTTTAATTTATTTTAGGGTTATAATAGTCTTTATATTTATAATTTTTTAAGATTTTAATACCAAAACGACGTCGTTTTGGGAATAAATGTAGATAGCTTCTTTGCATTAACTGCGAAAATATTTTTCCCTTTATTTTAATCTTAATAAACCAATGACGTGCTTATTTTCCTAGCAGGAGGCATTTATCTATTTTTATAATCAGTTTATCAAAATCTTAAATTATATCATTTTTTGCGGTCCATGTTTAATAAAATTTAGATTCAATGTTTAAAAAAATAAAATATTTTTTAAGTCAAAATATTAACTTAAAAATTAGTCATATATGTTTTTTGGTTTTTCTTTTTAAATTAACATTCAAACACATAATAAATTAAAAATTACATTTTTTTTAAAGAAAATAACTTCTTTTAAAAATCATTTAGGCAAGAACTTTGAAAAAAAAGTACTTTTTCAAAAAGAGATTTTTCAGAAGGGAAAGCTAATTTCTACATTAAGATGAATATCTGAAAAATACTTTTGAGTAAAACACAGTATTTTAATTTTAATTTTTTTTTTGTATAAATAAAAAATCTTGGCATCAAAACAAGTACATTTATTTTTCTCAAGAGATGCATTGAAATATACACAATTGCACATAAATAAAAATCACTTTTATTTTATTTTTTTTCAAACTCCAACTGTCTAACGGTCACTCTACGCTATATAAAAAATATAATTTAAAAATTATATTTTTTAATTAATGTAAATTTGCATTGTGCGCAATTTTATTCATATTATGCTATATTATATTGTACTTCATGTACTGTGAGTATATATATATATATATATATATATATATATATATATATATATTATATTGTATTATTTTTTATTTTAATTATGAAATTTAAAATATGTATATTTCGTCCACAACAAAAAATCATGGCTCCACCATTGCTTATAACTAAAATATTTTAAAATATAATATGTTTTCCGTCACATAAATGAATAGGATGTAACAACCAGAATTTTAATTATTTTATGAAAATAATGATTATGAAAATGGTATTGATTCAATGCAAAGATAAGTTCGGTAAGATGCTGGCAAGAGACACTGTAAGGATATGAGACAATTTTGTTATTGACATATATAAGGTGTGTCGTATGTAGGAGAGAATTCGACGATTGAGTCTTCAACAATATGGAAGATAGATATGAAAAAAAAGGGTTGGACCACGTTTGTTGGGCCGGTAAGGGTAAGCTAAATACATAGGAGTTCATTTTTTTTTAATAGATGAGAGGACGAGTTCATTTTAGTCTTAAAAGATGGAAGGCTAAAACAAGAAAAAAATATCTAAAATAATAAATTGCTCCGGAGACCATGTAACAACGGAGGAGTGAATATCCCATGCAATTGGCCTTGAAGGTTTTGTTATATTCATAATTAACCGGTAACAATTACACAAATAGCGTCGTAACTACAAGGAAGTGTGCTAGAAGTTAGAACCTAAATACCTCCTCTGCTAAATACATCTTTGTGGAGGGTGCGAGTAACTTTAACTTTGATTAGTCTTATAGCCTGTACCGTTGGGATCTATAAGTCCACTATGTTCCCTTTAGGGATAAGTCACTGTATGGGAGATACCCTTAGCTTAGGTACAGACCAGGCTAAGAGTTATTATGCTAAGCAATGACAAGACAATAAGTAAGTGCAGTAAACAATAGGACTCAAAGTAAATGAGCAATATAACGATACATAAGATCTTTTAAGCTGTGCCCATGGGGGCTATTTACAGGAAAAATGATGTGGGTTGGTGAGGAGGGGTCAACCCTCCTTGGGATGTACTCTTATGATAGCAGTGTTGGGCGTGTTTGGCGTTGCCATTTGGGC